TTAGAAAGTTTCCTTGTGGATATAATTAAAACTCTATATAGAAATATAAATTTATTCAAGCAAATTAAAAGGTATACTTCAGGGCCTGTTAATAATAGTTACATGTATTCTAGAAAGCAGTAAATAATGCATAAATTATTTATGCATTAGCAAATTTGACAAATGTAGTATTGGACTTGACTGTCTTAATAGAAACCCACTGCAAATCTTAAATTTAACTTCTCAGACTATAGCTGTCTAAAGGTAAGTATTGCTTCTATTTTCTCATTGTCATTTTTCTTATTGTTTAGTTGCTAAATTGTGTCCAACTCTTTGCAACCTCATGGACTATAGTCCACCAGGTTCCTCTGACCATGGGATTCTCTAGGCAAGAATACTGGAGTAGGTTGCCATTTCCTTCTCCAGGGTATATTTCTGACCCAGGGATCAAACTTGCATCTCCTGCATTGGCAGGCAGAGTCTTTACACTGAGCCACCAGGGAAGCCCCCATTTTCTCATGAAGTGAAGTGAGAGTTGCTCAGTCGTATCTGACTCTTTCAACCCCTGGACTACATGGTCCATGGAGTTCTCCAGGCCAGAACACTGGAGTGGGTAGCCTTTCCCTTCTCCAGGAGATCTTCCCAACCCAGGGATCAAATCCAGGTCTCCTGCATTGCAGGTGGATTCTTTACCAGCTGAGCCACAAGGGTAGTCCACAAATACTGGAGTGGGGAGCCTGTCCCTTCTCCGGTGGATCTTCCCAACCCAGGGATCAAACCGGGGTCTCTTATTATTTTCTCATAAGTTCCTATAAAATTCCCTTCCCCCCCCTTTTTTTTGCTATGAATTATTAATACTCTACAGTGTCTATTTAAAGCAAGTACCAAATACATATCTGATGAAAGACTGTGGAATAAATAAACTTGTTAAAGAGAAATCTTTCAAAGAAATAAATAATAAGTAGTACATAATATTTCAGCATGTATGGCTACTTGAAAGTACCAGTGAAAACTAAATCTACCCCCAAAATTCAAAGATAACTAGTTAAGTGAAAGCAAAAATTTACACATGAAGAAGAGAAAGAAACAGAAAATGCCAAAAATTTTGACAAGAGCACAGTGAGTAGAAGTTGGAGAGGAGTCTAGTTCCAGCTGTTATTTTTTGTGCTACTTTGGTTGTTGTTAAGTTTTAGCCTTAGAAGCCTCATTTCTTAGATGACAGGACGGAATCAAACATCCAAGGCATGTTTTGCCTACAAAATAATAGTTAGGCTGCTCACATGGGTATTTGAATGGATATGGATTGAACAGGGAAGTAAAATGAAACTAGTCTGTCGGTTATTTTCGACAGAGGATTTGTATAAGGAAGCATTCAGTCTCTACATATTGTTTCAATTAACAGTTAACTAGTTTTGTATGGTTTTCTTCCTAGTCCAAAATGCTTATGTTTAGAGAAAATATACCATAATAGAAAGTACACGAGCTTTGGACACAGTCAGAATTAGGATGAAATCCAGGTTTTGATATACTTTTAGAAATTGTTGCAAATTAATCTCTCAGATTTTTAATTTCTTTATCTGAAGATAAAGGTAATTCCTACATCATATAGCTCTTTTGAGAGCTCAATGTATGTAGTTGTTAAGTGTATGTATGTGCCTGAAATATCAAGTGCATGCTACATATACTGTTGGATTTCAACATATGATCTCTGTGATACTGTAATAAGAGCCTACCCATGGACTCTTAATGCTGACACATACACAGAAACAGCATCTATAGCAGAAGCCATGTAAATTAAGGAGTCATGGAGTTTTATAGCTGCAAGAAAACTTGAGATTTAAGGTAAAGGTAAAGATAAAAAAGAGAAACTATAAAAGTAAGTTTTTATTAAACTAAGAGGAATTTATAGGTGAGTAAATTGAAGATATTATACCAGCTATTTCAAGAGTTTTGAAGCATACATTTTTACATTCCATTCTTGGAAACTGAGACAGCCAGGATTATTTTAAAAATTATGCCATTAACACTATGATGTCAGAAAAATATTGATCAAGTAATGAGATTTCCACTTTTTTATTCCTTCAACATGTGACAAGTTATCAGTCAAATATTTAAAGAGTAAATGTCAAAGGCATAAAAAGTTCATTAATATGGAATATTTTTAATCCATGAAAGATTTTTCTCAAACCAGAATATTTATATTAATTATGAGAAATAATGACATTGTATTATTTTTGAGTTCAGTCATTACTAGCATGAATCAGATAAAACCCCCTTTCTCGCAAATAGACTTCAATATAAATTTAATGCTCATAGCAGAATATACTAGAGTGGAAAATAAAATTGAACAATAGAACAAAGTTATTATTTCTAAAATAGAATAAAAGTGAAAGGAGAAAACAATAATCAAGACAACATGACAAACACTACTGCATTAAATGTTTTTCATGGATTAATTTGTAGACTGTTTTATAGCAAGAGGTAGCGCTAGTGGTAAAGAACCTGCCTGCCAAAGCAGTAGATGACAGAGACTGGGGTTCAGTCCCTGGTTTGGGAAGATCCCGTGGAAGAGGGCAGGGCAACCCAGTCCAGGATTCTGGCCTGGAGAATCCCATGGCCTGAGGAGTTTGGTGGGCTACGGTGCATAGGGTGGCCAAGAGCTGGACACGACTGAAGCGACAGTTTTCTCTCTTTCTCGCAAATAGACTTCAATATAAATTTAATGCTCATAGCAGAATATACTAGAGTGGAAAATAAAATTGAACAATAGAACAAAGTTATTATTTCTAAAATAGAATAAAAGTGAAAGGAGAAAACAATAATCAAGACAACATGACAAACACTACTGCACTAAATGTTTTTCATGGATTAATTTGTAGACTGTTTTATAGCAAGAGGTAGCACTAGTGGCAAAGAACCTGCCTGCCAAAAAAGTAGATGACAGAGACTGGGGTTCAGTCCCTGGTTTGGGAAGATCCCGTGGAGGAGGGCAGGGCAATCCAGTCCAGGATTCTGGCCTGGAGAATCCCATGGCCTGAGGAGTTTGGTGGGCTATGGTGCATAGGGTGGCCAAGAGCTGGACTGAAGCGACAGTTTTCTCCTGGTGTCTCAACAGCTAATGCATTAAAGCTGGCACCAGGTGTCACTATAGGCCAAGTGACTTCATAGGTATGTATAACTGAATGATTTTAAAGGACACTTACTGGACTTCATGGAATATATTGTTAACTTTGCTCCAGATTAAAAAACAGTTATTTTATATTTTTGCCTAAAATTTTTCATATTTGTCTAAATTATATTTTATTTCTTAAAAACTTCCATTATAGCTGACATTTGACCTGTAATGGTCAAATTAGGGATTAGGGTTAGGAAAAATATAATATTGCATACCAAATAAAAGTGAAAAAGTTAGGCTCTGTAAATAGAGTTGAATTCAAACTTTGAATCACAAGAAGATATTAATGTGAAAATTAGCTAATAGGTAAAGCAAAAAATTTTAGTTGCTCTTTAGGATTTTAGCAATAACAAAATTTTTGAATTTCTAGCTATAGATTTCTATCTGTTAAATATAACATATAAACTGAATTTCAAAAATTAACATGGAATACATCATATAAATATTTAACATAGTTCTTAATCATACCACATTGATAAAAATATTAATGTGAAAGTTAACTAATCAGGTAAGATTTTAGCAAAAACAAAAAGTTCCAATTTCAAGCTACAGATTTTATCTATTAAATACATAAATCAAATTGCCAAAATTAACATGGAATACACCTTATAAATATTAAGAGATAGTTTTCTTGATCTTTGGGGCTTCCCTGATAGCTCAGTTCTTGATAATGAATCAGATCGAACTACTGTGTTTCTTTTAATTAGCACAACAGCTACAAAGATCCAGTTTCAGTTTCAGTTCAGTAGCTCAGTCCTGTACAACTCTTTGCAACCCCATGAACTGCAGCACGCCAAGCTTCCCTGTCCTTCCTCAACTCCCGGAGTTTGCTCAAACTCATGTCCATTGTGTCAGTGATGCCATCCAACTATCTCATCCTCTGTCGTCCCCTTCTCCTCCTGCCTTCAATCTTTCCCAGCATCAGGATCTTTTCCAATGAATCAGTTCTTCCCATAAGGTGGCCAAAGTATTGGAGCTTCAGCTTTAGCATCAGTCCTTCCAATGAATATTCAGGACTGATTTCCTTTAGGATTGACTGGTCTGATCTCCCTGGAGTCCAAGGGACTCTCTAGAGTCTTCTCCAACATCACAATTCATAAGCATCAATTCTTCAGTGCTTAGCCTCCTTTATAATCCAACTCTCACAACCATACATGACTACTGGAAAAACCATAGCTTTGACTAGATGGATCTATGTTGGCAAAGTAATGTCTCTGCTTTTTAATATGCTGTTTAGGTTGGTCATAGCTCTTTTTCCAAGGAGCAAGCATCTTTTAATTTCATGGCTGCAGTCACCATCTGCAGTGATTTTGGAGCCCACGAAGATAAAGTCTGTCACTGTTTCCATTGTTTCCCTATCTATTTGCCATGAAGTGATGGGACCAGATGGCGTCATCTTAGTTTTTTGAATATTGAGCTAAAAAGGTAGGACTTCCCTTTTGGCTCAGCAGTAAAGAAGATGCCTGCCAAGGCAGGAGATGTGGTCTCGATCCCTGGGTTGAGAATATGCCCTGGAGAAGGTGGCAGGAGATGTGGGCTCGATCCCTGGGTTGAGAATATGCCCTGGAGAAGGAAATGGCAACCCACTCCAGTATTCTTGCCTGGAAAATCCCATGGACAGAGGAGGCTGCTGGGCTGCAGTCCATGGGGTCACAAAGAGTAGGGCACAACTTAGTGACTAAGTAACAACTACAAAGATATTTAGGTAGGTTGCCACATGGTTCTCAAATATTTCATACAATGTTTCAGTGGGATTTCTTTTGATCCTGTTAGAAATTCCCTGCTTTCCCTAGAAGAGAAACTTGGTACTTACTCAGGAAAGAGAAGCATCACCTAATTTACTCACCTGTAGAATGTGCGGCTTGAAAACCTTTTCTTTGAACAGACGCGTCAGAGACAAACCGAATAAACATGTTATTTCCAGTAGCCACAAGGGGCTCTGGTATCTTATTCCCACACAGTCGTCCAAGAACTGGTGATTTTTCTGTTTCTCCATCAAATACTTCCAAGTGATCATAAGCACATTCTTGATGCTGCTCAATCTCAAATTCAGTAAAGGCCTGTTAAGAAAGAAAAAAAGAACATTTATAAAGCCACATATCACTCAAAATGGGTTCTTTTCTTTGCAGCAGAAAGAGAAAGACAAATACTATATATTAATACATATACACGGAATTTAAAAAGACAGTACTGACAATCCTACATGCAGGACAGCAAAGGAGACACAGATGTAAAGAACAGACTTTTGAACTCAGTGGGAAATGGCGAGGGTGGGACGATTTGAGAGAATAGCATGGAAACATATATATTACCATATGTAAAATAGATGACCAGTGTAAGATCCATGCATGAAGCAGGGCACTCAAAGCTGATGCTCTGAGACAACCCAGACGGATAGGGTGGGGAGGCAGGTGGGAGGGGCCTCAGGATGGGGGGGAGACATATATACCTGTGACAAAGTTGTGTTCATGCATGGCAAAAACCATCACAGTATTGCAAAGTAATTATCCTCCAATTAAAATTAATTAATTAATTAATTGAAAAAATATTTTCAGGGTTTGAAAATCATTTAATCCATCTAGCACATTATTGAAAAGGGTTGTGAAATCAATAGAATATAGAGTCTAGGAAGACATAATGAGGAAAGCAATGTAATAATATCATGTGAAATTCTATTTGACTATTGCAACTAATTCTACTATTGCAATTAAGTCTACTCCAGAAATTAGACAGATTATAATAGCAAAATGATACTTTATTCTGAGTTTGTAACTCTTAACAAAACAATAACAGAAAATCAGCTTAACTTCATCCCAAAAGGTTTTTTCTTTTTTAGCTAAATATGAAACCCAACTTCTAAATACTAAGAAAAATATTCTATAAAGGGAAATAACACCTGAAAACTGTTGCATGTCAAATAATTGTCTCTTTGGAATGGACTTCAGAAGCATTCATCTATCAATATAAAGAGCAAAGAAACCCACTATGTAGAAGAGAAAACTTTAAGAATGATGGGAGTAATGACATTCTAAAGCTTATCCTATAAGTAAAAGTTAAAAATAGGATCAGAATTTACAGACCACAGGTGTGGTCCATTGATTGGTCCATTGAAAATGAAGTGAATGATATAACTAATGGGCTATTTCAATCTCTAGTGAAATGCAGGATGTCTGAAGTAAATCATAACATCTGTTTTACAGAACAGAGCAATACCACAGAAGGTGGCATTGAGCTAGTGGGCTAGGGGCTATGTTGACACTTGGTTGGAACCAACTGACTTCAGGTTTTTATCAGATTACTAACAGAATCTGACTGATTTTGTAAGAGTCAGATAAAGCAGTTTGTGTAGCTGATACACTCTCAGTAATGCAACTAACTCTCATTAATTAAGGTATTGATTAATTTTGCCCTTGGAATTAATAGCAGCTTGTAAGGTCAGTTGCAAAGATTGGGTGGTCCTTTTCCAGAAGCCAGCTTAACCCAAATGCTCTACCACACACAAGCAAAACGTGACTAATTCACATGCTGAGATCTCATAAATCTGCCCTGTAATATGCTAGAGACATACATGTAGAGACATCTCCATATATAGTGGCTTTGCATTAATATGAAATATTTCTAGGCCATAAAATGGAGTCCATGGAAAAATGGAAAATTTTTAAAAAACTGACTTTAGAATCCCCAAAGGTAAAGTAAGATACACAATTTATTGTTTTTTACTCTATCACACATTCTGAGGCCTGGATCTCTATGTCTAAATGATGCAGAATGTGAAAATTTCCAGTCACCAGGAATCAATGCCATGGAAGTGTGCCTCCCGAAGACACTTAGATTCTCAAAAAAAATTCCCCCCAAATCCTTCAAATTTACAGTGAAGACAGGACAGAAAAGTTGATGTGTGGAGCTATAACGAACTCTGATTTCTGCTGAAACACTGCCCTCATTTCGGGGGAATTTTAAATACCTTTCTTAAGCAACTGCAAGACAGTTTGGTATTCAAACATTTAAACCTTATTCACTCCATTATTATAGTTGTACGATTTTAAGGTTAATGATCAGTGTTTTAGAGAGACCAAAATGAGTGAGTAGTAAGAAATTCTAAATCATTTAAAGAGAATTATTCAAAAGAAACAAAATTAACATTTCATTTTAAGCTCTGGAAAGAATAACTGTGCTTTTTTGGAACATCCAAGCAAACCTAATCTACCTTCCTAACTTCCAGCCAGGCTTCCATACACAACCCCTTCACATGCATATTACCCTGCCAACAAGTGTCCATATAATCAAAACTCTTTTTTTCCAATAGTCCTATATGGATGTGAGAGTTGGACCATAAAGAAGGCTAAGCATTAGAGAACTGATGCTTTTGAACTGTGGTGTTGGAGAAGACTCTTGAGAGTCCCTTGGACAGCAAGGAGATCCAACCAGTCCATCCTGAAGGAGATCAGTCCTGAGTGTTCATTGGAAGGACTGATGCTGAAGCTGAAGCTCCAATACTTTGGCCACCTGATGCGAAGAGCCAAGTCATTAGAAAAGACCCTGATGTTGGGAAAGATTGAGGGCAGGAGGAGAAGGGGACGACTGAGGATGAGATGGTTGGATGGCATCACCAACTCAATGGACATGAGTTTGCGTAAATTCTGGGAGTTGGTGATGGACAGGGAGGTCTGGCGTGCTGCAGTCCATGGGGTTGGAAAGAGTTGGAATAAATGAGCGACTGCACAACAACAACAACAAAGAGGTACTTTTGCCTGAAAAAGTACTCTTGTCTGAAAATCTCTTGGGCAGAGGAATGTGGCGGGCTACAGTCCATGGGGTAGCAAGAGTTGGACACAACTTAGAGACTCAACCACCCCCAGAGGTACTTTTACTGAAAGTACAAGCACTAGCTAAAGGATAAGGCCACTCAAAGTCTCTACATACATTCAGAGAGGACAAGATAATAAAATAATAGTGCTTAATGTGGAAATAAAATTTAGCCAGGGTGACTATAAACTTAGAGAATTAAAGAGACTGATACAATGTGAGCAGTTATGAAATGAAATTCAGACCTCCCTCATTCTATCCATCCTTTGCATTTTCCTGTCTTAGATGAGAACTTTGGTTCTCATCATTTGGTTTTCCTCAAGATATTGGAAGGATTAGAGGCCACTGGAAAACAATGGCACAATTGAATTAAACCCCAGTCTTCTGACAACAGTGATCAAATACACTTATAACGGATTTATGGTGGAGAATTATATATCACTGTGAGTGTTTTGTTTTCTAAATATCCCACATATGAAGCTGTAAACTACAACTTAGCAAAGCTTGGATACAATACATAAAATTAAAATGGTACAAGTATATTAGCCTATTGCTACGTGATCCTATGCCTAGATCTTTTTTCAGTTGTTTAAATTTTTTTAAAGTGTAGAGTAATTAAGAATATGAAAAAACTACCAAAATTTTAATGATCAGTAGAGACTTTCAGAACAAAGACATGGTAAAGCCAGGAATGATAGGACACTATCCCTTTATTCATTCAGAACTTTATCCCTTTTCTAAAAGGAAGACTTTCTCCAAGTATCTTTCAGCCAAGGTTTCTTTTACTTTAAAAACATTATGAGGCAGTTAGCATTTAATGATTAACACACACATACAAATACAAACTCCAAAAACAAGGTAAATATATTTGCTTCCTCCAGCAAATTCGCTCTAGGAAATTACCACACACTTAGTGGCTCAATACAATACACTTTTATTGTGCTAGAACTGTGGAAGTCAGTGGTCTAAAGTGGGTGAGGAAGCACAATGCTGCTTCTGGGGGTCCTTGGTGTGAATCTGTTTCCTTACATTTTCTTCAGCATCTAAAGGCTTCCCTCTTTTCTAGGCTCATGTTTGCTTCCTCCATCTTCAGATCCAATAGTATAAAACTTGGCTCCCTCTTGTAAGGACCATTAAGATTACTTCAAGCCCATCTAGATATTCCAGGATAATCTTTTCATCTGAAGACCTTTGATTTAACCACTGTGCCTTTTGACATATAAGATAATGTATGCAAAGTTTCTGAGAATTAAGAGATGGTGATCTTTGGAGGATGGGGAGCATCATTCTGCCTACCATAGAAAGTAAAGTCAAATACTTTCACCCACTGTGATTTTCAGGGGAAATGAGGGCAAACACTTATAATTACATGATTTCAAACCTTTTTATATGTGAATTTCTTAGTTCAAGTCAGCAAACTAAGTCCCACAGAAGAAATCTGACATGAAGCCTGTTTTTTAATAATTAAACTTTTTCTGGGACACAACTATGTCCATTAATATGTTGACTGGCTCCACCCATCAGCACACAGGGTGCTTAAAGTCTTCCTGAGCCCACAGCCAACTCTGGACACAGCCCTGCCCAGCAGAGGGCCAGCTCTACCTATCAGAGAACAGAGAACAGATGCAAGAAAGTCACAATCCTATAACCTGTGGGCCTAATCTGTCACAGTAGGCCAAACCCTGCCCTGGGGCCAGCCTGACCCAGCCCACTGGCAGGCCAGCACAAACTCTTGGATATCCCAAGAGTCTGTACCCACTTGTTTCAGGAACTGCCCCCACTCCTCCTACCAGTGACCTAGTATCAACTCTGGGATTCCTGGACCCTGGAACCAGAGTCCAGGGCCTGACTCTGCCTGCCAGTAGTCCTGCACTAACACCGGGACAAGTTTCACCCAGCAGCGGGTGGGCTACAACCCCGAAGTCTTATGGACTCTTTCCATCAGTGAGCCAGCTCTAGCCTTGGGCCACCCTGGATTCTGCAGCTGGCCACCTTATGGCCAGGCCCCTGTGTGGAACAGCCAGCAGCCTCGATTAGAGTAATTAAGAATATGAAAAAACTACCAAAAATTTAATGGTCAGTAGAGACTTTCAGAACAAAGACATGGTAAAGCCAGGAATGATAGGACACTATCCCTTTATTCATTCAGAACTTTATCCCTTTTCTAAAAGGAAGACTTTCTCCAAGTATCTTTCAGCCAAGGTTTCTTTTACTTTAAAAACATTATGAGGCAGTTAGCATTTAATGATTAACA